TTTTGCCTTTTTGCGCCTGTTTTTGTGTTTTTTTGTTTTTTTTTTTTTTTGAAACAGAAGTTTATGGTTATATGCAAATTAGGTCATTAAATGATTTGCATAAAATGTTCGCCCACCAGCGACTAAACGTGTTCCTAACACTTCCCCACCCCCCCAAGGTAGTAATCCTACTCCACTATGCGCCGTCGCACGCACGCCCCATCGGCACCGCGCACGCACACGCTTTGCACGCGCGTGTGCAACGCTGCACCCCCAGCCTGGGCTCGCACACGCGCGCCGGGCGGGCGGGCGGGCAGGCGTGCACGGTGCCGGCCGCCCGCATCCCCGTACCTTCGTGCCGGCACGGCGGGCACCGACTTCGCTCCCGGCCCCCGCGAGCAACGCGCAGCCGCGGCTCCGGGCAGGGCTGTACGCACACCACGTCCTTCGCGGGACGGCATCCCCCCGCCCTAGCTGTTGGCGAGGAACAGCCGTCTGTGTCGGGACGCCGAGCCGCGCGGTCGACCCCTACGACGGCCGCGGCCCCGGTTGCCGAAGGGGCCGCGGCCGGGCACGGCGGTCTCCGCCCAGCCGGCGTTCGCCGCCTGCGGCTCGGGGAAGCCGGGCTCGGCTTTGGGCTGCTCGAGGAGCGGGCCGGGCTCCGGCCGCGGCTCCGGAGGCGGCCCCTGGCTCTGGCGGGCGCCGGCCCGCTCCTGGCGCAGGTAGCGCAGCTCGTCGCGGATGTCCGTCAGGACGCCCAGCAGGCGGAACTGCAGTTCGCGGTCCCGGGCGCGCTCCTCGCGCTGCGTGGCTCGCTCCTCCTGCCACATGGCCAGCTCCTGGTGGTACAGCTGGTCCCACTGCTCCTCCAGGTCCAGCAGGTGATGGATGTTAGTCCTCCAGCTGTCCCGGCGCTCCTCCCGCAGGCGGGAGCAGCCCGGGCCGCGGGCCGGGCCGGGGGCGGCCGGGGCGTCCCCCGGGGGAGAGGCGGAGGACGGCAGCGACTCCTCGGTCAGGGCGCCGCCGTGCAGCGGGGAGCGAGCCGGGGGATCCTCGTCGGGGGGCTTCTCCCAGGCGGGCCCCATCAGTACCCTGGGCAAAGAGCCCGCCTCCGGGCCCGAGCCCCCCGCCTGCTCCTCGGGGTGCGAGGAGTCGATAGCGCGGCCCAGGGCGGGCAGCTCGGACACCCCGTCGTGGCCCCAGTCCGAGTGAGCGTCCGCGGGGTTGAGAGGGTCCTCGGGCAGGGAGGTGACGGAGCCCTGCGAGCTGCAGCGGCGGATCAGCATGGCCTGGCGGGACAGTTTCATGTCCTCCTCTGCTGCCATCGGGGCCTCGGGTCCAGGCTGCAGCCCCGCCGCCCCGCCGTGGCCCCTCTCCACCTCCCGGCCTTCCCGTTCCTCCTCCTCCGACATGGATGCGTAGGACACCAGGGACTCGTTGCGCAGGGATGGGGATATGGCTGTCATGTCCGGAGTCCGCAGCTCCGGTCCCGACTCGGCTGGAAGAGAACAGAAACCCCCCTGTGAGCACAAACCCCCCTGTGAGCACACCTCGCTGCCACATCAGTTCAGCGCTGCCCCCCACCCCTTCCTGACGCTCTCTGTCCATCCCTCAATATGCCTTCCCTGCACACCTCCCGGCACCCCACAGCTGTTGGTTCCGCAGGCCCAGTGCTGCAAGGAACACGGCAGCCTTCGTCCTCCCTTGGATCCGCCGCACAGACACTGCTCACAGAGCAGGGGTTGTGGACATGGAAGTTGTTTTGTTGAGAACTGCAGTGGTTGGATTTAATCTTAAAGGTCTTTTCCTTAAACGCCAACTTACACAAGTCTATGATTCCTGCCACTGGCGATTACAAAACTGTGCTCTGGGCTCATGCACCCATGGGCCATGCAGACATGGAGGCAGCACCCACAGTGCTGGCTCAGAGCTGGGTTCTTCCACACCAGGACCACACTCCTGGTGCGGACCGCTCCCCATCTCAGCCAGGTCCCCGGTCTCCAAACAGCCACTGCTGCCCTCCTCTCCCCCCCCACGAAGCCCCAGCGCAGCCTTACCCGAGCTGCTCTGCCCTTCCCCTCGGCTGTACTCGCAGATGACCGAGGGGTCGGGGCTCTGCACCGCCAGCCGGGGCGCAGCAGAACCCTCCACGTCGGGCAGGGACGAGGGCTGCCCGTTGGTGTCGATGTAGATGCTGGGGTGGCTCACGCCGGGCTGCAGGTGCATGAAGGACTGCTTGGATGCACCGGGGAAGAACAGATCTGTGGGGCAGAGAGAATCCAGCCTCAGTCACGGTGACAGTGGCACCACCAGCACATGTGGCACGGCATTGAGGGCAAGAGGGTGACCTGCTAACACCAAAGAGCCTCCTAAAGGGATAAGCTGCGTGGCTGCTTGCCATTGCCTGCCCACAGGACTGGGCTGGCAGACCCTGAACTTCCCCCCCTCATCCTCTTCCTCAAGCCCAAAACTTTTCTGCACTGCACTACAAAGGGGTTCTGGTTCTGAAACATCCCGAAACCTGCTTCAGAAGAGAAATGAGAGCCATGCTGCCCACCCATCCCCAGTGGAACCTGACGGAGAGGAAGGAGCAGGAACAGCTGCTGGTGTCCTCTGGGGTACAAAGAAGACAGATTCACTTCCCCTGAAATGAAATGGCGGAGGGGATATTTGCCTCCTGGCCAGTGACAAAGCACGTTGGTAGCCCAGTTCACAGCGTTGGGTATGTAACCCCATCACTGTCCCCACAAACATCTCCTGGGTTATCTGAGGGAAGTAAGTGTCACCCAACAGCAGAACCTGCATGAGACCACGACTCAGGTGTATTCTGCAGATAGCAGAGGGTGCAGTGTGCCCAGGAAGCCCCAGCCTCACACAACACCACAGTAACGCAGCAGCTGCTCCCACTCTCTCTGGCTCAGCTAAAAGCGAGGGACACTGACACTGAAAGGAACAGGGGGGGTAAAATCCTATTCTGTCTTCTACTGGCTGCCTTCAGATGGTATCCAGCAAGGCCAGGCAGTGTACGGGACTTAACAACAAGTACCCACTCCACAATGCTTGACACGCTCATATCAATCCCAAGTTATTTCCACAGTGGATTTTAATTCCAGCATACTCAGTTTCCAATCCTGGTGCTTTGCTATTCAGATACGGGACTGCAGCCCTGCAATCCCGACACAAACCACATAGAAGAGCAAAACCCACAAATCTCCTTCCACCATCCAACTGCTCAGCAGACCCCGGAGCTGGGGGCACCGCAGCCCGGTGACATAACCAGGGCGGGCAGCGCTTGAGAGCGCAGGCAGGGTTGCAGCACAGGACTCTGCTGCCCCGGCTCTCCCGGCCCCGGAGAACCAGCACGACTGACCTGGGTCCAGGATGATTTCGGGCTCCGAGTCGTGACTGGCCTGCAAGAAGGTGGAAGCCACCATCTTCTCCAGGGGCGTGAGGCGCGGCTTGTGCAGCGGCCCACCGGCACGGTTCATGGGCAGGTGCTTCTTGGAGGTGATCTTCTTCTTGACGTCCAACCGCAGGTCGCGCCACTTGTGCTTGAGGTCGTCGATGGAGCGCTCGGTGTAGCCCAGGAAGTTGACGCGGCTTTGGATTTGGGTCCAGAGCTGCTTCCTCCGCACGGGGTGAGCCCGAAGGGCTTCTGACCCATACAGGGCGCTGAAATGCCGGACCACATTCCAGACCAACGTCTCGGTCTCGTCATTGGAGAAGTTGGCCTTCCTCTTCCGGCCAGATGCTGGCATCGCCTGCGAGGCTGCGGCAGAGGTGGAAGGGGCACAATTGAACCTCGGTCCCCACTCCTCTCTGTCAGCTCCTGGGGGAAACATGGGGCTGCGGGAGCCCGAGGGAGCCGCGGAGGAGGGAGCCGAAGCAACGGCCCCCGAGGCATCCATGGCAGGGGAGGCTTGGGCCGGGGAGGATCTAAAGAGCCGCTTCGGCACACCACGCGGCAGGGGGGCACCTCATCCCCTCGCCCCGGCACCTGGGAGGGGAGAAAAGGAAAGGGCAGCGGTGGGTGGTGGCAGAGCATCGCCCCACAGGGCCCCTATGGCAGGCAGGGATACCGAGGGAGACCCCGGCCCTCTCCAACCAGAGCTATCCGGGGCCCCCAGCCAGCTACCGGGCGGCATGGAGAGGGTCACGGTCACAGTGACGTGGGCTGTGGTCCCATGGCAAGCACCTCGGGGCCACGGTGAGCACCTCGGGGACACACACAGGGCAGCAGGGAGAGCCTCGAGGTCACGGGGAGGCATCAGCGCCACACTGAGGGCAATGAGGAGCAGCTCAGGGCAATGAGGAGCAGCTCCAGTTGCACACACAGTGCCCCACGAGACGGCTTTGTGAGAGCCCCAGGGCCGTGGGGGAGCCACAGCGACAACTTCAGCACCACAGCGACTGCTTCTGGGCCACAGCGAGAGCTTTGGCCACGTGCAGCTCCTCAGGTCCACAGCAGGACCTCGGCGATGGCCGCAGCCACGGCCAAAGCATCAAGGCTTCAAGGCCACAGCAAAGACCTCGGCCGTGGTGCAGCGTCGGGCCGCGGCGAAGGCTCTGGCTGTGCTGAGCATCCCAAGGCTGCGGCGAAGACCTCGGCGGGGATCTTGGCCAGAGATCTTGTTGAGAACCTTAAAGCCCGGCTTCTCCAGTGCTCTCGCATCGCGAAGGGCAGAGCGAGCAGAACACCTGCCGCCTTACGCCACAACGGCACCTCGGGGCCCAGGACCTCGGGGCCACGGCGAACCCCTCGGCTCCAACGGGAGCCACGGTGAAGCCCCGACTCACGGCAAGCGCCTCAGCAAAGACAGCGGCGAACGCCTCGGACACCGGGCGCAGCTCGGGGCGTCGAGGCGAGGCCCGGGGTGAAGCCTGCGCCGAAACGAGCGCCCCGAGGCCGCGGCAAAGACCTCGGGGAAGACGGCGGGCGTCCCGCGCTCGCGGGAAGGGCTGCGGGGCCACGGCGAACGGCTCGGGCG